TTTGGATGCCTGTCATAGAAATCAAAGGTGAGGTTAAAGTAGAAGAAAGATGTCTTTGTTCAGCCCATCACTACTGTAGAAAAGCAATCTGGATATAGCTCCTGCAAAATCCTTTGGGGTTTCCAGAACACTTCAGTATTTCGTTCTGATGAGGCTTTGTTGTCCTTAGATAGTACCTGGTTCTAGAAAAGACGTCATGTTTGATACCCCTTTCACTCACCAGAGTCATTTGTCCATTGGAATTGGCTTAAGTAGGGCCCCAAAATAAAAACCAGTTTTGAAATGTATACAATGCTATACTTAGCAGCCATTTTTAGTAAACTATCATAGACTGATGTGCTTGAAGACTTTCTTTTAGATTTTTAAACAGACTATATATACTTCCAGGTGATAAATATCCCATAAGGGAAAAATACATTTTCAAACTGAGTAAAAAAAAAAAAAAAAATCACTCTTCTACCCACATTTTTCTTCTTTAACTTTCACATAACATAAAACACTTCCCTTCTGAGACTTCTGGTCACCAAATATGTGAATTTTTTTCTCCCACAAGAGATTCTCTGCAACACCAGTTGGGTATTGATAATTTAACTCATTTATTAGGACATAGTGGCAGATCCCACAGGTTCAGGGCTCAGCCTACAAGACTGTTCCCCACCAGGAGTTGCCAAGCACAAGTCCAGGTTGTCACCCGTGCTTCTGACAGATGGTTTGTAAATCGGAGGTTCCCAGGGCATCCTCCTCAGGTTTGATTAATTTACTCACAGAACTCATGGATAGCATCTACTTACTGCTTTCTGCATGGAGCTGCCATGTGCTCTTCAAATGGACACTCTCCCCCCACCTCCATGTGTTCACCAACCCACAAGCTCTCTGAACCTCATAGTTTTGGGATTTTTATGGATGCTTCATCCTGTAGTTATGATCAATCATTATTTACTCCACTCTAGCCCTTCTCCCCTCTCTGGAGAATGGGGTGGAGCTGAAAATCCCAAGATGCTAATCCTGGTTTGGCCTTTCTGATGACCATCTCCTATCCAGGCACTCACCAAAAGCCATCCCATTAGAATAGGGGTGTCGAACTCAATCAGAGAAGGGGCCAAAATCTAAAATCCAGCCTGAATCGCGGGCCAAATGGTTTACTGAACAGTCATAAACTGTCATTGTGATGGAAATGCAGCGGAGTGCAGTGATGACAGCGCGGTGCGGGCCACATTGCAAGGCCTGGCGGGACGGATTTGGCCCGCGGGCCTTGTGTTTGACACATGTGCATTAGAACCACAAGAAGACACTCCTATCACTCAGGAAATTCAATGGGATTTAAGAGCTAAGTGGAAGAGACCAAAATATACTTTTCTAAAACAAAAACTTTTCCATTTCATGCAAATCAATTGGTTAAACATCTATTAGGAAGGATGATAATGTATTTGGTTCAATATGCCCCTTTGTCTGATCATTGATGGCACGTGAAAGTGGTCCAAAAAATTAAACAGCAACAACAAAAGTGGGCTTAACATGGGTGCCTGCTTCAATGTTTTTAAACAACTTTGTTGAGGTATACTTTATGTATCATAAAATCCACTTGCTTTAAATGTGCAACTATTACTATAATTCAGTTTCAAGATTCAATTTTAATGTGTAAACCTCATCCATGTTAAACGGAAAACTCACCATCATGATTGGCTTGATTAAGATCTTTAGGGTAGAAAACATGGAGCAGGATTTGTTTCCTTGTCCTGATCCTTCTCACTCCCTTCCTCCTTCACTCCTTTTCTTGGTTCTCTCCCTCCCACTTAGTGTGGTAGGCATAACTGGGAGGATAATTCCTGCCTTGATCAGAAGGACAGTCAGGAAAAGCAATGAAAGAGATCAACACATTTTTTTGATGGAAGGGTCATCGTGGATTGAAGGGTTGTCCTGTGTAATAGGGGTCACCTTTATCTCAGCCTCACTCAGATTCTGGGAGATTTAAGGGCTCAGCTCAATAAACATTTATCAGGTATCACATGGCGCAATACAAAGATAAGAACTCAGTCTTGTCCTGATTTAAGCAGTTTTAATTCAACCTCACGGGACTAAGCATCAGTCAATGCTATTGGTCTGACTGACCTTGTGACCCATTTCCAGCATCTTGACCTTTGCCATTGGGGAAATACAGGCATACTCCATTTTATTGCATTTGGTTTTATTGTGCTTCACAGATGTTGCTTTTTTTTTTTTTTTTTTTTTTTTTTTAACAAATCGAAGGCAAGTCCTTCACCAGACAGAGATTATGACTCACTTCATTGTGGTGGGGTGGTCTGGAACCGAACCCGAAATACCATACCCCAAGATCTGCCAGTACAGACCCTGATAACCAGGAAGTCTTCCCTATTGATTGACAGTGCTTGTTCCCCATTTCCTTCAGCTCTCTGTTCCAAAGGCACCTCCTTGAACATGGAGCTAAAATTTCAACCCTCACACAGTTGGCGTGACTCAGTGGTTGAGCATCAACCTATGAACCAGGAGGTCACAGTTCATATGTAAACTTTAAGGGTCAACTAGAAAGCATCTGCCTGCGGTGACATGGAACTAGACAGTTAACTTGATCCCCAGTGTGGGTGTGCAGAAGGTAGCTGATCAATGATTCTCTCATCACTGATGTTTCTTTCCCTCTCTCCCTCTCCCTTTTATATATTTTATATATAAAATAAAATTTCAACCCTCTCCAATGGAAACATCATAACCCCCTTCCCTGCTTGATTTTTCTCCTCTCCCCTTTTTCACCCTCCAAAACAATTTATTTTACTTATTTATTATGTTGTGTATTCTCTGCTTCCTCCATTAGACTGTAAGTTGTGTGAGGGCAGGGTTTTAGATCTGTTTTCTTCTCTGTCCTAACCCTGGTTCCTGACACATAGTCCAAACTCCAGGAATATTTGTTAAATGAATTACTGAATGTCTTCTCCTTATCTTGTTCCCCAGTGCGGGGACTCCACCCTGACAATGTACTTTTATCAAGACCTGGGATGATGCCTTGATCCTATCTCACACAGGCACGGACAGGGCCTCATCGGGAATGGGATTCTGGAAGCTTTGAGCTTGCAGCTCTGAACACTGCCTGGTCCCGGCCGCCTTGATCTTGGAACTGTCTCACTTATGTATCTGTTTCCACAACATGTTGTTGCCTGTTCCTCCCCTGCCTCACACTGTTGCTGCCTGGCTCAGCGCTGCCCCCCCCCCCCGCCCCCCACTAGCCTTAAGAACTGGCTTATCCCAGTCTGCCCCAGTTAATTAACCTTCTCTGTGTGACGGCTTTACAGGACTGGACAGAAGGCAGAACTCCCATGATGCTAGGTGAATTAAAACACCAGCCAGTGGGAATGAATGACCAAGGATGGAAGCATTTCCCCCAAACTGAATGCTTGAATTCTCCCAGCGAATTGCTTTGAAAGCAGCTGAAAAAAAGTTTAAACGTTTTGGACTCATTACTGATCCCTGAAATTAGTTTCTTAAAAGTAGTCTAAAGTCACTCTGTTATAATCTTAATATTTCTAGGCTACATTTTCCTAGTAAAATCTTGGGTAGTTATAATTCACCGTCCTATTCTAAGCCCCTGGCCAACATCAGTTTTCAATACTCTCATTAGTTTCTCAAAAAAACCTTTTTTTTTTCTGTCCCAAAGTTGAGGCCAAAAATACTCTTAAAGTCTTCTACTCCAAGATCCCTAAGGCTTTTTTAAACACACATATAACTTTCACTGCTGCCAAGTATACAGTAGAAGCTCTAACTTATGAGCCAGGTGAAGCTGTAACAGATCCTGGAGAAGACTGACAGTCATTAGGCTTTATCTGTCTCCGGGTGACTGATTTCTCCATGTGCTTGGTGATACCACATTGGAAACACTACTAGCAGGTTTTATCTGTGAACAAGACAAGGATGGTTGAGTTGAGTGCATGAGGAGCTCACATAGAGCCCCCTTTGTTTTAGTGGGTTTCCTTCTCCTCATCTCGGCAGAAGATGGGGGGAGGGGTTCCAGAAGCCATGCATGGGGAAGTTTAGGATGGCAGTTCTTTTCCGGGGACACGCCTGGAGGACATAAAGCCCGCTCTGTTGGATGACTACGGGACCACTCAGTAGAACCTGTTGCTGCTTGGAAGGCTTAACTCTTCCAATCATAGCACAGCGTTCTGGGTCTTCATTCTGCAAAGAAACCTTTTAAAAAGGCACCAGATAGTATGGACACCAACCTCTACCCGCGAACTCCCTCTTCCATTCTCCTATTTTGCAGGAGATCATTGCTTTTGTTTGTTTGTTTGTTTGTTTGCTTTTAGGGGGTGAGTGGGTGGGTGGGAACTAGACATTCTAAGCACGTCCTGCGGTAGGAGTTCGGTTTTAAGGTGGAGATTAGGGTGGGCTCGAGGCCCAGTGGTTAGCGCAGCCAAAGATGACTCCAGACTTTCACCTCCAGGTTCCTCTTACCCCCATCCAACGAAGCCGGGCGGTGGGGGTGCACCCAGGCCTTCTGTCCACGAGGGTTGCACTAGGTGAACTTTAAGGGTCAGCCAGAAAGCATCAGCGGGGACACGGAACCAGGCCCTTTGAGTTCACGCGAGGATCTCAACTCCTCCCTCGCTCGCGCCCTGGTCGGGGCTGCAGACCGGTTCCCGCCGGCCTGGCGGGTGACCAGCTGCCTCCCGCCCCGCCCTCCTGTCAGCTGAGCTCGGCCTCCGTTCACACCTGCTTCCTTCCAGCTTAGGTGCCACCTTCACGCGTGGAGAAGACCACGTCGAGGTCCCCGCTGAGGTTGGGCCCTTGGGGTTGCAGGCCGAGGAGGGCACGAGGGGGAGTGGGCAGCTCCTCACCCCGGAGGTGGTTTGCGATCCCAGACAGACAGACAGACAGACGGACAGACGGACGGACAGACAAGAAGGGGGGCGGAGCTGGAGGAGGAGGAGCCGCCGGGGAGGGCGGTACCGCGGGGAGCCGGGTCTGGCCTCCCGCCCCCACCCGCTCGGAGCGTTGGTCTGGGCGGCGACAGGAGAGCTCCCGCTCGCAGCCCAGCGGCGGGCGGCGGAGTGCGGCGGAGCGCGGCGGGCGGCGGGGCAGGTGGGGCGCTTCCCCGGCGCGGCGGGCGGGGCGGGCGGGGCGCTGGGGCTGCAGACGCCGCGCTCCCTGCGCTCTCTCCCGGCTCCGCGTCGCGCGTCCGGCGGAGCTGGTGGCGGGCGCTCCGGCACGGGGACCCACTGGCAAGGCTGCCTCCGCCTCCGCCTCTATAAGGAGCGCCGAGCCCGCCGCCGGGAGAGGTCGGTGAGTTTCGATTTGTGCCTCGGCTCTGCCTCTCCAGGGTGCGGGGCGGCGAGAGGGGCGCCCGGGGGTGTCCGCGACCCCCAGTCTGCCTCCCCGGGAGCGGGAAGCGGGAAGCGGGAAAGGGGAGCCGCCGCCGGGTGCACGGAGGGGCACCTCTTGGCCTATGGATGGAGGTGGCGGGGCCGCAGGGGTTTCGGGGAAGCAGGGGCGAGGGGCGCCGTGGGGGAGGCCCCGGGACGCGGGAGGTGGTCCCTGGAGTTGCGTTTGTTCGGGGCGCTGGCGGAGTTGGGCTGTCGGCGGGGGCTGGGGAGGGGAGAGGGAGGAGGATGGCGCTGTCGGCGGCTCGGCCGAGTCCTCGGATGCCCCCTGGAGCTCCGGTCCGAAGGCGCTGTCTCCAGCCCGCGCCCCGCGCGTCCCGGCTGCGCCCCCGCCCCGCACACCCCCGAGTGGGTCCCCTCGCCAGCCCCCGGGGGCGCGGCTTCCCCGCCCGCACAGGCTGCCCTCGCGCGCCCCCTGCGGCCCCGCGGCCCCTCCCGGGGGGCGGGGGCGCCGCCAGGGGCCAGATGTTGGGGGTCTTTTGTGCCTACCCACGCGCCTGGGGCGCTGCTCCTGGAAGGGCGGCGGCAGGACAAAGCGGGCTGGGCTCGTGGGACTCAGCCCGAGAAGCGGCGCCCCCCGATCCCGCCTAGGGTGGGGGTGGGTGGGGGGAGCGTGGCATGGTTTTGGGAAGAGTAGAGACATCGGCAGAGCAGGGACAGGGACTTGGTGAGGTGGCAGACGGCGTGCGGGAGAGGAGGATGCTCGCGAATGCAGCGCTGGTGTGGGTGGCTGGGCGCCCCGCATTCCCCTGGAGCCGGGTGTACCTAGTAGGTTTTGCTGGTGTGTATTTGCCCCAAGATGTTATCCTCCTCTGCTTTCTCGTATTTCGTTCTTGAGAGATTACAGTTGGTAGCTGAAGCGCTACCGCCAGAGGAGAACTTGGGGGGCGGGGGAGACTGCAGATGAGGGGTGGGGGGAGGTGGTTATTTATCCTAGAGAGACAATTAGGAGCGTCCCGCCCCCTCGCCGCCTGCCAGCCCTCCACACCTCCGCCGCCTCCCCCCGCCGCCTCGGAGCACCCGCTCCCCGCCGGCCCGGAGGAAGCTTGGATTTCTCTCTGCTGCGCGTACCTAACCCCGAGTGCATGTATTTCACCGCAGGCTGAACAAAGCTCGGACTCAATTGTGCTTCCTGCTTGTCAGCCTCTTGCCTCCCAAAACGCGTACCATTGCCACTTGATGTCATCCGACAGAAGGGGGTGAAAGGGACTCGGTGACAGATTCAGGTAACCCCCTCTTCCTCCCAAATAATCTGGGTAGCCGCCTGGGTGTCCCTGGGTCCTTTGGGCCAACAGTGTTTTGCACGGGGCCGGCGGGGTGTTTTCTGCATCACATACCATTCCATTCCATTCCATTCCATTCCTACCCGTGAGGAGGAGGAGTGGGGGCTGCTGGAAAGAAATCGCCGGTGACTTCAAATCTTCCTTTTGAAGAAGTCGTTGAGGGCAGGCAGGGTGCGTTTGGGGCTGTGTAAATGACACCTGGTTTCTTTGGATGAGAATGTTGATATAATAATCAATACATAGTTGTATCTGAATGCGGGGTTTGGATAGATACTTGCTTTCTTATCTGTAGTAATATATTTTGTCTTCAGTGGGACATAGTGTTTGTTGAGAAGGTATCATCCTAAGGCTGATTGCAAATTGGACTGGTGCTCCATGAGAGCGCCGGTCAAATGTAGTGACTTTCTTATGATGTTTCTCCTTCATTCCTTCCTTGTAATAGTGTTTGCAGCATCACCCTGCCAGCTGTAAGTTCCTGGGAGGTGGGAGGGAGGGCTGTTGGGGAGGCGGAAAGGACAGAAAACAGAGCTTTAGTTAAGTTTCCATTTATAAAGCTGTGAACCATTAGGCTCTCGGTCTGCATTTTATCTTTAGATTGTTGGTTCTTTTCCAAAAACTCTGGCCTGTTCTTTTCTTTCCAAGGATATTCCTGTTCTGACGGCAACCTAACCAGATCTGGGGTTATCTTGAAAGAATTCAATGAAAACGTAACCTTCAGACAGCAGTAGGACACCTTGGCACTGGCATTTTCTCCTAGAGGGCAGAGTCCCCGCGTCCAGGGGATGAGCATGGCTGTGGACATGGACTCAGGGTTTGTCTTGTGGGAAGGAGGGGCTGCTGAGGACTACAGGCTACTGGTTACTGGTGTTCTTGCTTGCTCTGCAGCAGTGGCAGCAGCACAGTATCTGTGGCAGATTCTCTCTTCACCATTCTCTCTCCCACCGCCCCTCCCCTCCAAACCCTTAAAAAAATAAAATAACTTGAAAGATTTGTCCTTCACCTCCAGGGTAGTTTTGTCTTGAGAGGTGACTTTAAAAAAAAAAATATAGTGACACTGGCATTTATCCTTCTCCTCTAAGCATGCAGGAATCACTGGGGGAAGTAGGTGAGTTACCCAGTCCCAGCTGAAACAAAGGCCAAGGTGTTAAATCAGATTTGTAATGCTGTTTGGATAGAGGTATTTTGACAATTTTTATGTCAGCAATAATGCAGGGCGTGTGCTGTGTTCCTGCAAGAAGAAAAACCACGTGATGGTGGTAATAGGGAATGTAACAATGCAATAGAAACAAAGGGTGTGGTGTGTGTGTTTTAATAGAAAAAATAAATACCTCTCACACACACACAGTTCCGCAGGAGAAAACAGCTACCTGCACATGTAAAATGCATGTCCAGGAACAAAGATGAACATAGGGCAGTGTTAGGTGTCACTGTGGCTTTAAATTGTGTGTAGTAATAATAAATCACAATAAAGTGTTGTGTTGCTGTTCGATTTTTATTTTATTTTTACTTCTTTTCGGTGGAGGCTCCCCCGCCCCCAGATGTCTGCAGTACTGTGTGTAGCTTTAGGTAGTAGGGGCAGCCCTAGAGGTTATTAGACCAACCTTTGCCTCCAGAGCTATTCCTTCAGCATTCATTTAATTCACTCAGCAGATGTTTATCAAGCACCTACTAAATAATGGGCCTTGTGATAAGGGCCAAGGAGTGGGGGTGTGGTGTGGCCACGTAAAAATGAGCCACCTTCAGGGAGCTTACAGGGTAATCGAGGAATGATGACCTGATGCTTGTTAAGTTCAATGGTAGCTAGTGAGAAAGAGAAGACTAGTCTTTGACTTCTGAGGAGGGGGCATATGGCCATTCAGCCTTTCCTTGAACGCCTCTTTCCTTGGGGCGCTCACTATGTACCGTATTTTTCGGACCATAAGACGCACTTTTTCCCCCCCAGAAGTGGGGGGGAAAAGTCCCTGCGTCTTATGGTCCAAATATAGCTTGCACATATACTTTAAAAAAAAAGTTTTTTTACTTGCCCGGCTCTGTGTGGTTTCTGTGTGCTTGCCCGGCTCTAAAATGGTTCTAAATGCTGCTGTTTACTTTACAGGGTTGATTACATGTGTTTATGACTGTGATGTTGGGTTTTAATGCACATAAAATATTTTAGGACACTATTTGTTTCAGAATCTTTTTTTCTTCATTTCCCTTCTCTAAAAACTGGTGCGTCTTATGGTCCGGAGCGTCTTATGGTCCGAAAAATATGGTAAGTGACTGGGCCTGTTGTGAGAAGGTGACCTTTTCTTCATAGCCTTTCAACTCTTCAGCTGAATCTCACGAATGGTTAGGTTGCACTGTTGTTGAAAGGTCATTCTGTTTTCATTCCTTACTCTTTCAGGGTTGTTTGAATGTGTCCATCCTGTCAGCACCCTCCGCATTTCAAGGTTTTATTCATTCCTGGCTGCACTTGAATTTTGGAAACAGAGTCTGCTTTTCTGAATAATCCTGATTTAGAAAACAGAAAGGGGTGGGGGCCGTCTTAGCAGGTTGCTCTCTTTTTAAACTAGTAATGTATCAGCAAGATAGGTTAGGTTATTCTGCAGTAACAAATAACCTCCACATCTCAGTGGCTGAGTACTGAGTCTTAGTTTTTTTCCTTTGGTGTGTGTCCAGTGTGGTCAGCAGGTGGTCCTGCTCATTGTAGTCGCTCAAGGACCCAAATCGACGGAGATGTGATCTCGGGTGCTTGCAAGATCCCTGCAGCATTGGAAAGGAAGCTAGAGAATCTTGTTTTCATGACATGATCTGACCCAGAAGTGACTTGCATTGCCACTGCCAGGCCTAGCGCTGTGACCCCATTTAACCAAATTCAATATTTCTTGTACTGGAAAGGGAAAACGGGATGTAGGGAGCAGCACTAATAGCTTCCACAAGTGATGTGGCCTAGGCAACTTCATAAAGTGTATACCTACTGGGCCTAGCTTAATGCTTTGTAGGTATTAGGCATTACACAAGAATCAGTGAAATGAATGAATAAATGAATGAATGAATGAGTGATACGTATCTTAATCTAGTTTCACCCTAATCTAATATGACTGTACACTGGTCATCAAGTGAAAAATGATAATTTTTTCTCTTTCTGCATAGTTATTTATTCTGAAGTGCTAGGCCAGGAGATATTTCCAAGGCTGGTTGATTCTAGGAGGTTCGGTGCTTAGCATTATGTAACCAAGAGGTGTTACCTACAGACTTTCTCTCCCTCACCATCTGCCGCTTGTCTAAGACTTCCTGAGTTTTTTTGGAAAGCTCAGGGTAGAAAAAGTGGCAAAGGGCCTAGCATCAACCAGGGGGTGGCCTCATCCACAAAGACGAGGGTAACAGATGGGACCTAGAACAGGCAAGGAAGGGTGTGTGTAGGGTAGCCTTGCACCACACTCTTGCCACTTTGATGTTTAGAAAGAGCGATTTGGAGAGTTCTGGTGCGTGCGTATTTCCATCAGCAACCATGGTGACTGTGATGGTAAGTTTTAAGGCCTTTCTTGCTGCATGCTCCCTACAAACAGTTGGGTGAAATGGGCATTGCAAAGAGCTCTGGATCAAGCAGTTGATGGCTGGTAGAGAGATTTGGCTGTGGGAAGTGCTGGTCACTCAAATATCTCGGTTCATGTTGTGATAAATACATGCATGGGTTAGAATTTTTAGGATTTGATGAGGACTTTTAGCAAAAGCATGGAATTGAACAGAATAGTATTGCTTCTGACTCAATCAACTCGATGAAGTCATAGACAGACAGGTGACAGAGTGAGCTGACCTTAGCCCTCAAGTCACAGTGACTGGAGAACATGGGTGTTGACCTGAGAACACAGAGGCTGCCCCCTGGCCCAGTGTCCCTTGAGTAACTAACAGTTGCACCCAAAAAACTTCTGAAGTGGGAGATGAGCAGCCACTAGGGGAACCAGATATAGCCTTGACCTCCGAGAACCAGTGCAGGCTTGGGCTGAGAGCTAGGGCAGACTGAGAGGGAAAATTAAGCCCTGAGGGACTAATCTTGGAATATATTTGGGAAGCTCCAAAATACATTTCTATATTTTGTTTGGCCTCTGACTTCCCACTACTTTAATTTCCTAACAAAGCCAGCTAGGTGGACACTTGTGGAATGAACGTGGTTTCTGGTGCTGCCAGGGCCAAAATCACAGCCTGAAGGGAGGAAGGCGCTGGTTTTCCTGCCCCTTCCCTCATGGCTTCTGGAGCTGCGCTGGATAGTCCAGGGTCACAATTATGATAGAAGTCACAATTTGGATAAGATAAGCACTTGTTTTAAAGGATGTTCTACTTCTGCTTGACTTAGTGATTGTCAGACTTAGAGAGGAAGGCCTCAAGTTGTGTATATGCAACTTGCATTTCCTTTGAGTGCCTCTCAGCCTGGGATTTCCTGGTCTTACCCTGTATGGCTGCTTGAGGCTGAGAGGGTATTCATTGTGGATCTGGGGGTGGGGGTGGAGGTGGGTGGGTAGAGGGGGTGGGGAAGCTGCTTGTGCTGTGCTAGGAAGGGAGGGGATGAGTGGGAAAAGACTCCTTATTCACCAATTGATTTGTTAATTCCTGCATAGATTAAACTCATTGCAAAGGTCCTGAATGATAAAAGTTATTCTAACAACACAGGGACTTCCTGGAATGTCAGACCTTCAGACCTTCATGCAAAAAAGGATCAAAATGAGAGGTCAGATGTGGGGCAAATGCAGATGTGCCACCTTGGACAAAGTCAGGATAAAGTTGGGATAAAGTGGAACCACAGATGTCCTATTCCAGTGGTCTCCAGACTCATTAGTCAGCAGAGCCAAATGTCAACAGTACAACAATTGAAATTTCCTTTGAGAGCCAAAATTTTTTAAACTTAAACTTCTTCTAACACCACTTCTTCAAAATAGCCAGGTATTTTGTGGAAGAGCCACACTCAA